CCTGAAAGGCTTACTCAGCGCAGCCAGGAGGTGGAGTGCTGAGAGTAGGAGCTGCAGTGTGGGATCTGGCTTGCCCTCGAGTGTGAGAGACCAATTGAAGCACTTGTGCTGGAATCTTCTCATCGGGGAGTCGATTAAAAGCTGTTCTGAGTGGGGAGCGCAGTCTGCTCCTGGGTGAGGAGACGCTTTCCAAGAGGTACCTACATGTGAAGTGATTCGTACAATCCTTAAGCAGAAACTGTGGTATGACGTGACTGACCTTCAGGTCTGACATCACCAGTTAATGTCTGGAGACTTCTAGGTATACCCGTGGTTGTTACATTGAAAAGTGTTTAGATAAGCATTCTATCAGAACAGATGTATGTGGAAAAGTTAAGCCATGTCATGAGAAAAGGGTGAAGACGGGGGAGGAAGAGGTAATACCAGCAAAGCACCGAATATAGGAATTTGGTTGAAGCCTGCACTGGGATGCTCTTTTGTATTACTTTATTTCTGCCTTAAAGTTAAAAAAAAAAATTACTGACTGCCCACATTGATTCAGGCTGAGCACAAGATAAAGTGCATCAGTAGGAATAAAACCGCAGTGGGTCAGCTTGCAAGTGCAGTTCTCATTTGTGTAACTCCCAGTCACCTTTGCAGTCTAATTGTACAAGTAGGCTATATGTGCAGACCGAACTATTTTGCTTTCCAATTAGTGATGCTTTTAAAACAATCCACCTACCAAAACATTATTTCTAATTCTTATATTCTGTGTACAGGCCACTAAGTATCTTGTATATCCCATTTCTATTAATCTATTTAAAATAATAAATTCATAGTGATGGTGAAATACAAAGTGAAAATCAAATCTCCCCTTCACTCACCTCTTCCCTGCAGGGTACATGACAGGTTTTTTTCCTCTGGCTGTACAAGCATTCAAATAAATTTATAGCTACAACACGCAAATTGTGTCTTGTTTTCATGCCATTTGGACATTTATCTTTCATGATGTAAAAATCCTCTCTTTATTTGGAGCCTCTCTCTGTGGGAGTTTGTCAGCTCTGCAACTGGAGCACCTTGGAAGCAGCTTTGAGGCTTGCTGCACTTGGCATTCCTATTTTAGTTCCCAGACCTTTGCCTTTGAAATTGCAGCAGGAAAGCCTAATTCTTATGGGGCATCTAAGCATGTTTTAAGCATGTTTTTATAGCTCATATGTGCTTTTTTTTTTTTTTTTTTTTTCCATTTGCGGTGCAGGAATAGGGAAGAATGTGATCTGTGAGAAAGCTGCTACCTCTGTGGATGCCTTCAGGATGGTCACAGCTGCCAGGTATTACCCTAAGCTGATGAGCATCGTTGGCAATGTTCTCCGTTTCTTGCCCGCCTTTGTGAAGATGAAGCAGTTGATAGAAGAACACTATGTGGGCAACGTGATGATCTGCGACGTCCGAGTTTATGGGGGAAGCCTGCTCAGCCACAAGTACAACTGGATCTGTGATGAGCTGATGGGAGGAGGTGGTCTGCATACAATGGGAACCTACATTATTGACCTCCTAACTCACCTCATCAGCAGGAGAGCAGAGAAGGTCCATGGTTTGCTCAAGACTTTTGTGAAGCAGAACACAGCTATAAGTGGGATTCGTCATGTCACTAGTGATGACTTCTGCTTTTTCCAGATGGTAATGAGCGAGGGTGTCTGTTGCACTGTGACTCTCAACTTCAACATGCCTGGATCATTCATCCATGAAGTCATGATTGTTGGGTCTACCGGTCGCCTCATAGCTCGTGGGACAGACTTGTATGGGCAGAAAAACACTGCACTCCAAGAAGAACTGCTGTTTACAGACTCTCTGACTGTCAACAAGGGGCTTTTGGATAAGGGATTTAAAGACATCCCGCTGCTTTACCTAAAAGGAATGGTGTACATGGTGCAAGCACTGCGGCAGTCTTTCCAAGACCGGGAAGACCGTCGAACATGGGATCATAAACCTGTCTCTATGGCAGCCTCTTTTGAAGATGGTCTGTACATGCAGAGTGTAGTAGAGGCCATCAAGAAATCCAGCAGGTCAGGGGAGTGGGAGGCTGTGGAGGTGATGACCGAGGAACCAGATGCCAATCAAAACCTCTGCGAGGTGCTTCAAAGAAATAACTTATGAACATTTCTGCTTTGGAAAATAGGACAATTAACACTTCTGGCTGTATTATAAAAAACTCTCTGGTTTTTAAGATATGTCGATTCTTATTTAATAACCTGACTTCCTTGGTTTTTTTAAACGTGTAAAATATGTCATGTTCTGATAGAAACTGTTCTGATTTAAATTGTTTAAAGAGTTTTAAATGTTTCTGGTTTTGCAAACGTTTAATTTTTGTCTTAGAGACTGGTAGGAAAACTTGAATTGCCCTTTGCACTTGCAGTAGCTGAAGTGAAGCATAGGATCTCTGCCATTGCATGACTCGGAAATGGGACACAATCCTTGTTGCACAGCTTGCTTATTTTAACAATATTAACATGAGAGCAAGATCAGGGAGTGTCTGTTGTTCAGATGCCTTTTCCTTCTCTCTTGGAGACTGATTAAGTTTTAATCCTCAGTTTGTAAAATTTTATAAAACAGTTTAGTGATGTAACAGGTCTCTAAAGTCCTATAGGACAAAAAGTAGAAGGAACAGATTAAAGTTTGTAACATAAGGATCAGCCTTTTGGCTTCCTGCATGTGGCAAATGTCTTTCAAATTCATTTGAACTGGTATTTTATTTAAATGATGCTATGAATTCTCTGTTGACAGTGTCTTGGCAGGAAAATCTTCAAGGAAATCTGTGATGATTTGTGCTATTCTTCCATATCTGTAGACGTTATTCCTTCTCAAGAGGCTGCCTGCATCCAGCAGCTTTTTTCCATAAGCTCTGTGTCCGTTGGTTGTATTTACTGCCTGGCAGCACTGGTGTCACAATTACAGGGCCACGTTCTCATTTCTGTGCCTGTTAATAAATGCCTTCTAGGGTCACAGGATTTCCATGGTGTCATGGGTAATGAAGTTGTATAGCATTAACCTTCCAGGGACCTGAAGATGGAAGTAAGGAGGTATTTCCTACCTCTTGCAGCTCTCTTAACATGCTGGCTGGGTAATTGTCACACTACACACATCCTGATAGCTGAGAGAATGGGGACTGAACTGTCATGGGTAAGTCTGCTCTTAATCTCAAACACTGGATATTAACCTTCTGGCCCTGCCCATCCTCATGCCCTCCTGCAGCTTGTGTCCAGTGGAGAGATCTGTTGGCAGATCATGGGTGGAATTTCATTCAATTTGAGAAACCTTTGTCTCTGAGGCAGGTGTGTGGAAGGGATAGTCCAATTTTACAACATTTATTTTGTGTACTTGAAAGCTTTTTTTTAACATATTTCCCACTAAATTGTAACCCTGTGTATTTATGTATATTAACATACAAACTGCTATTTCATAAGCTGTCCTTCCTGAAAAGTATCTTGTTTTCTACAGAAATAAAAAGTTGTGTTTGTTGAGGGCATTCTTTATGTAGCTGTGTGCTTGTGTTTGATTTGGTCAAGCTGAAGCCATCCTAATAAATGTCAACAGGAGACTTACAGCTGGAGCTCAGTACCTGTTGAGTCCTTCCCTGCTTCTGTACTCTTTTGGTGCCAGCTGGGCAGCTTGGGTGTGGAAAAAGTAGGAGACAGCTCTATGCTATCCTAGCAAGTGTCATCCATTTATCACCAAGGAAAAGTATGTCCCACCGGAAGTTCTATTTCCCACCTCTTTGCTGTTTCCCTCGGACTACAGCTGTTGAGTAGCTGGTTTTGGAGATCCTCTTGCCTATCTTGGACTTACCACATCAACTTTTGTGATTAAGAGGATCTTTATTTTTCTGCCTGACTCATCGTAGAAATTGCTGGAAGACACCAACTAAGCAGCAAAATCCCCATAGCATTGATGGGACTGCTTTCTTTGCTCAGTGTGTAAATCAGGTATTTACCTTTGGGTATTTACTTTCAACACATTAAAACTCTTGACAGAAAAAAAGACTACTGACATGCTTTTTTAAAGGGTAGGCACATGGCTGCTCCTGTGCTCTGCACAATCTCTTCTCTACTGTGAGCTGGATGAAGAAAAGTAAATGGTTGAAATTTATTCACTGTTTCCAGCTATAGCAGGTGGAGCTGTGAAAGCTGTATCTCTGCAAACCTTCCTTTACATAGAGGACTGGTGTTCCTGCCATAGCTCTGAGCATCTAATGTCTGTGATGTCTACGTGCTATGTGAAGCAGGTGAGATAATGTCTCCTGAGCTCACCTGGAAGTCACCACCTTCATTCAGACAGAATAGTTCTGGCTTATTTCATGCCAGTTTTGGATCTGTTTTGAAGCTGTCCTCCTTGAACTGCGAACCCTCCTTTGTGCCTTTGTCAGTATGCTTGTACTGGGCAGAAAATCCTAAAATACAACTCCTTCTACAGGAGTAGGAGGAAGCACAAAACACTTCCAGATAGACCCAAGTGATCCCAGCAGAGGAAGGAGGGTGCCAAGATGACTGGGTGAGCAGAAGACCCGACTGCAGAAGTGTACAGAGAGGTGAAACAGGCTTCTCATAGGCTGGCTGCAGCCTCCAGCTGCCCTGCACAGGCAGAGTGGGATGGTGGCCAAAGGAGCACTCCTTTGGATGAGGTGGATCTCTGTCATGAAGTCTAGATTCCCCTGTGCAATCCCTGTTCATCTAACACAGATGTAGTGGAAGCACCTGCTGGTTAGTGCCACTGTCAGAGGGGGACCAGGCCACGCTCTGCTGTCTGCTGCAGAAAGGTAACACTACACCATCCCCTCCTGTGTCCCCTGTGCAGGGTGATCTCTAGCAGTGAGGCTCAAGGCTGGTTCCCCAGACTCCCGCTTTCACACGTGACAAAGGAATAACAGCACATGCATCCTAAGGCCACATGATGTGCAAGTATATTTTATAATGAAAATTTGTTTTTTTTTCAGGCAAATCAGGTTCTCTGCAACCAGGAAAAAAAAAAAAAACAAACCAAAACCACAGCTGTTTGTATGGGCCAGGTGATGATCACCACCCTGCAGGTCAGGCTGTAGTAGCCAAACAGGAGGCAGAAAGCTGTGTGGCTATTTATACTGAGGAAAGAGCGGTGGCACCAGGTGAGCTGCGTATCTGAGCATCCTATCAATATCAACCTGCATGGATTTGTCACCCACTCCTGGGGCTGGGATCTCTGGAGCACTGCTGGCCCAGGTATCTGCAAGAGGAGTGAGTGCATCAACAGCCCAGCCACCTCCTTGGAGACAGGCTGAGTATTTGCACCAGCAGGATTGTCAGGTCCCAGCAGCATGGGTGGGACAGCCACTCTGGGTCTCCAGCCTGACCTCCTGCTTGGAGCCAGCCTGTCACCAGCACCAGCTCAGGCTGGCCATGGCTTTGTCCCACCAAGTCTTGGAAATAAACTCTGGAACCTGGAGACTGTGGAGTCAACTGAAGAGTGCTGTCCTAGGGGAAAGGGTCCTGCTCTGTTTGGCTGGGCCCCGTCAGAGCTTCAAGAGAAAACCTAAGGGCAGACCTGCTGCAAATGGTGATGCAGGGACATCCAAGCCACTTCTCTAAAAGCTAGGAGCAAGGGTGGAAGAAACAGGATAAGGTGACAAAACCTGCACAGGCAAGGGCAAAGCTCCCATTTCCGAGGGGATAAGATAAGGCAACCAGTATGTCTCTTTTTGGTTGCTGGCAGGGCAAGGCCAGCTCCCTGGGGAATACAGGAGCTGGGTAAACCTTGCTGGAGCTCACCCTCCAGCTGTGGAGCAGTTGCCCTCTCGGGGGCTGCAGGGACCTGGTTTGGCTGTGCCAGCCCGGAGACTTCATCTTCTTCTGCTGATGGGTGCATCAGCTCCGGCATGTCGAAATTGATGTACTGATACAAGGGTCGCAGGCGCGGCAGTTGTCCTGGAGAGGTACAAGAGCCCAACGCTGACAACCCCTTCCCTGCCAGGGCTGTGCTGTAGCTCACAGGCTGCAGCAGCCCTGGGAGGAGAGGAAGAATATTACTCCTGCCAGGAGAGGAACCAGGGGATGAAGGGGGAAGCAGATGCCCTTGAGCTGAGGCTGCCTGGTGGGATAAAAGCCGGAGATACATGGCCACATTCCAGAGACAAAACAGCTGCTGGAGGGAAGAGCCATGGTGAGCCTGCCTGGGCATCATGGTGCCCAGCTGAAAACTCACCAGTGGCAAAGCCCCCATCATCACCTGACCCATGGGGATGCTGCCAGGGCTGGGGACCACCCTGTTGTACTATGGATCCAGCCTTAGACCAGCATCATTCCTGAGACAAGTCAGTTACAGCACATGCCAGGCCAGCCCAGCTTGTGTGGCTGCAGCCACCCATTTTGCTCACCCAGCGTGTCCTGGGATGTGGCCCCTCTGGGAGGACGCAGGCTGCTCACACATCTCTTTTTCTTCTTTTTCTTCTGCTGCTTGGCAAAGAGACCAGCATCGCCTCCCAGGGCGCCCAGCTCCTTGGCGGTGGGATGCACCCTCTGGAAATCAGGGTGCTGCAACAGGAGCACCTGTGAGTTGACCCTGCAGGACAGAAACCAGCTGTGGGGCACGGCCAGCTAGGGCTCTGGCTGTGGTGGGAGATGGAGCCCTGCAGCACCTCGGGGTGGGGCTCCATGCCCTGGCACAGAAGCTGCGTCCAAGTGCAGCCCTCCCCCTTGTCTGTGCCTGTGCTATGGCACAGCCGTGCCTGGGGCTGACCAGCACCTCGCTGCTCCTGCCCTGGCTGTGCTGGCTTAGCTCCCTGGCTGGACCTGGACATGGCTGGTGGTCACTGACTGTGGCTGATGGATGGCTCCAGGCTACTGCATTGCCATACGTACTGTTTCCCTTTGCACCATGAGCCCTGGGACTCTTTGGGCTTCTCCCTGTCCACACTTCTCTGGTTTATCTGCTCTTTTAAACTCTAAGCAACTCTCAAAATTACTACAAGCCAAGCTCCTCGATTCTCAACAAAACAGAAACAGAACGATGTCCAGCCACAAATCCTGGATATTAGTATCTTCCATCCCACACTCATCCCTTCCTGCCAACCTTGTTTCACCCTCATGCAACAGCCCACCTGGGGCAGACCCAGGCCTTGCTGGTGGCTG